GGTGTTGGGGGGAGGGGGGAACTGATGACATGTTTGAAGCAAGATTGATGGAGCGGTGGCAAGCGCCAGGAAGGCTGTCTGTGAAGGTCGGAGCGGCCGTGCGCCGTGAGCAGCTGCGCAGCTCAAGCAAAGAGCAGTGCAACGGCGTGAGCATCCGGCGACACGACAGCCCAGCACAGGCACCGCACTGCCCGTCATGTCCCAGTGCTAGCGCGCACCTGCACCCGTGACTTGTAGCCGCCTGGTGAAGGAGAGGGGTGCAGGGTTTGTCAGCGGGTGCTGCTGCACGCTTCGCAGTCAAGAGCGCCGCTCTGCCCATCTCAAACGGCAACGGCCATGCGCTGCTCTGCCCCACAACCACCGCAATCTCTGCACCCGCCGCCACCTGGCTCCCTTGCATCAGTCACAAGCACCAAAAACAAATGCACACACAAACAAACAAACATACCCCACGCTGGCCCCATGGCACGCGTCCCCACCCTCCGCTTCCCCCCTGGGTGCGCCAGCTGTGCCTCACCAAAAGCGGTGCCCTTCCACTGGCGCCCCGTGACGAGCTGGAAGGGGCGCGTGCTGATCTCCTGGCCCGCGGCCGCCACCCCGACGACGACGCTCTGGCCCCAGCCGCGGTGCGCGCACTCTAGGGCCGCGCGCATGACGGCGACGTTGCCGATGCACTCAAAGGTGTAGTCGCAGCCCCACTCCGTCAGCTCATTGATCACAGCCTGGATGGGCTTGTCGTGGTCCTGAGGCCGTGGGGGTGCGGGGGAGGGGGGCGGTGGGGGCGTGGATGGGGTCCGGTCGTGCAGGCGATCCCCCCCTTCACTAGGGCTGCATCGCCTGCTGCTAGGGCCCGTGCCCAAGTCCCGCTCCCCCCTCCACACCCTGCGGCGCACCTTGGGGTTGATGCACTCGGTGGCGCCCCACTCCTTGGCCGCGGGGAACTTGTCAGCGTTGATGTCCACCGCGATGATGCGCGACGCCCCCGCCCTCGCGGCCGCCTCGATCACCGCCAAACCCACGGCACCCAGGCCAAACACGGCCACTGATGTGCCGGGCTGCACCTTGGCGGTGTTGAACACCGCGCCCCACCCGGTCGCCACGCCACAGCCCAGCAGGCACACCTGGGGGGGCGGTAAGGGGAAGGAGGGGCGTATCCTGGTTGGCGACAGGGGGATGTCACTGCTGGCGCGGCTCGCCAGCGACTGCGGCGTACAGCAGAGGTGTGACGCTCATAGTGCGCGCGGGCCTGGCCTGGTGGCTGACCCACATAGTAGTCTGACGACCTGAGTCACACCACCTGTGAGCCCTGACTCGGCCCTGGCCCGCACACGTTCGCCATGGCCCCCCTGCACCCCCTTCCCCTCCTTGCTTTCCCCCCACCCCTCCCACCCCTCTTCTCCCCCCTGGGCGCACCTTGTCGAGGGGGGCGGTCTTGTCCACCAGTGCCACGCTCTGCTCGTGAACCACGGTGTACTCACTGAACGTGCTGGTGCCCATGAAGTGGAAGATGGGCTGTTGTGGGGCGGGGGGCAGGGGAGGGCAGGGATGTCGAGCGGAGGGGGGAGGTGCGTGAGTGGGATGCGAGCAAGGGGCATCATGGGCAGACACAGTCACCGCGGAGATGCGCCTCGCCATGCCGTGGTTGAAGGATTTGCATACAGCGAGTGCTGGTGCACCGACAACACGGCAAACCCCTGCAAGCCGCAGCAGGGCAGCCGCAGCAGGGCAGCAGCGGCAGCGCGCCGGGGCATCCTCGTGGCTGCCTCGCCGTACCTTGCCGTCCAGGGTGGTGAACCGCGGCTTGCCGTCCGCCTTCATCACACCCTTGCCTGAGGGGGAAGACAGGGGAACACAGGGTTGCGGCAACGCGGCCGGGTCAGCCGTGTCAGGCGTTGGCCAGCCAGTGAATGCTCGCGTCTGCGGATTGCGGCGGCAAGACTTGGCTGGACGTCAACGAGCTTGTCGGGCCCAGTGCTCCTGCGGTGACACGCGCGCCCTGGTTTCACCCGCTGTAGTGGCCGCCCTCCCCCAACCTGTGAAGGCCCTGACGCTGATGCAGAGGTTTGACTCGGGGTGCTTGCAGAACTTGCAGTCCCCGCAGTAGGCCTGGTAGCACGGGATAACCTGGGGTGTGTGGTGGCGCAGGGCAATGCCCCGGGGGGGGGGGGCAAACACGGGGTTATCGGCCACCTGCTGGGTCGTCAATGGAAAAAGAGGCGCGCGGCATGAAGGCCCCGAAGCAAGCAACTAAGCTGTGCTGGCGTAACTCTGCACCTCTACACCAGCCGAAGCCTCCCCACCCCCCTCATGTTCCCCCAAAAAGCACCACTCTCCTCGCGCTGGTGCACCCACGTGGTCTCCCGGCTTGACGGACGTGACGCCCTCCCCCACGCTCTCAACAACGCCGGCCGCCTCGTGGCCCAGGATGCACGGGAACAGGCCTTCGGGGCAAAGGGCAGAGGGAAGGGCGGACAGGGGGGCGTTATAGGTGGGGTGTTGCGAGGTGGGTGAGGTGCGTGATGTGGGCCTCAATTGCTTGATCTGCCTTACTGCCAGAAAATGCCACGTGGTCCCTTTGACAGTGGTCTCCTGGGCCCTTGCGCCGCCCTGCAGACCCCGCATACCCTGCCTGCGCACCCTCAGGGTCGAGGCCGTCCAAGGTGTAGGCGTCCTGCGGCACGTGTGGGGGCGGGACCTCACGCCACAGCCTGGCACCGGCTGAAGAGGTGCAGGGGTACCCACAGGTGGCCCGCCCCTGGTGGCAGCTGCGGTGTCAGCAGGAGGGCATCGCCCCTGCGCGGCCGGCGGCTTGCCATGCCTGGTTTGCTCCTATCCCTTTTGGTGGCCATTCCCCTGGCGCCCAAGCTCGCAAAGCAGTGATGTGTTTCCTTTCTCCTGCCACCCCCCCCCCACCCACCGTGTGGCAAAGGGCCGTGGCAATAATCTTGATGCGGACCTCCCCAGGCCCAGGAGGTGCCACGATCACCTGCATGCCAATTGAGCGAGTTGATGCAGCGGGTCACGCGCTGCCGCTGCGCATGTGCGACGACCCCCGTCATGCCGGCAGCCACAGCACACCTTGGTGACATCTAGGGGCTTCTTGGCCTCCCATGCGATTGCCGCGAGGCACTCGATCGGCTCCCCGGGAGCCATCGCGGTGATCTCTGATCCTGGCAGCGCGCTGCAGGGGCTGGATAGTGAACCACGCTTGCACTTTATGACTCGCGGGAAAACGGAACTATGAAAGCGCTGCCCACGCAGCGGCCTGGTGTGTGTTGACGATGAGGCGGCGCTGAAGCACATGCCTAGTATGGTGTGTTGCGGTGTGCCGGGGGAATCTGCAGGATTTCCCAACTGTGTGCGCCCACAACAGAAGCAAGGTGTCAATAGCAGCTTGGGAAAAGTGCGGGCGGGCACATGGACGGGGCGAGAGGCACGGCAGAGCGATACCGGTAGCGGGTGTGCCTGGTGCAGTTGCGCGGTGTGTGCAGGATGTGCTGACTGCCAGTCGCGCCGCGCGCAGCCAGCCCGTCATCGACACAAAGTGCACCATGGAAGCTGGGTGTACTGTAGATCACGACAACATTTACGTGCAAGATGCCAGGCAAGCTGAGCATGGCCGTTGCCCCGGCTGAGGGTGTCATGTATGTGCATGTGGGCCCAGATGGGACCAGCGGTGGCGTGCAGCGGTACCGTCACATGACATGTAAGCAAGCAAGATTTGCAAAAGATCACTGCCGCAGGCTGTCTCGCTCCCCCTGTTCAGCACAGGTGTTGGCGCTGGCGAGGGCCCGTTGCATGTACATGGAGGTACTGCATGTACGTCGGTAGTACTGAGCAGCTCACAGCTGTGCTGCGCCGGACGCCCCCGTCGTGCCCTGGCCCTGGTGACCACTGACAGGCTAGCAGCCCATCATGCCAACATTTGTTTCAGCGCTCGGATGCATCTCAATAATTGCATACGCATGCCGTGTTGCTGCCTCGTGGTCTCCTCTCCACCCCATGATCACTGACCAGCTCGTGTGTTGACATGGCGCCGTGCGGATCCCCAACACAAAACATGGGTGGTGGCTTTGCATTAAACACAGCTCGCTTTGACACAGAACCTTGTTGGCCGACTGGGCACAAAGCGTGATGACCTATGGTGTGACAGCAGCCGCCGCAAACGCACACACAAAACTGCTGGCTGCAACAACCTTACAGCGCCGTCGGTCTCGTAGGTATTTGAACGCCTGCGACCGATCAGCACCAGGAGCGTCGTCATTTCGCTGCCTAGATCACGCAAAATCGGGTTCGATCCCTGAGTGGCTTTCAGATACCTGATTGCGAAATCTCACCACCAAAGCTTAGTACTCTAGTAAGCGCAATTCACGCGACGCACGCGTGAGCCCACCAGTTCGGCAGCAACAATGTCGGGCGCAGCAGCAGCAGCAGTAGCCGATAGCGCCGACCCGTTTCCTCGCAAGCACCCCCTGGAGAGCAGATGGACGCTCTGGTTTGAACAGAAGGCGGTTGACCACAAGGCACAGAAGACCGGTCTGCAGGCCATGCACAGCTTTGACAGCGTGGAAGACTTTTGGTGGTGCGCCCCTTGCCCAGCTCATCATCACCTGGGGACGGGCGCGGGTGCCCACATCACGAAATGCGCCCCCACTGCAGCTCACAGAACGCAAATACGACCTGTCTCGTGCGCAGTTTGCACACCAACATCAAGGCGCCGAGCCAGCTGCAGCCATCCTCCACGTGCGCGCTGTTCAAGGATGGCATAGAGCCGCAGTGGGAGGACCCTGCCAATGCGAGCGGCGGCTGCTGGACAGCCGTCGTGCCCCGCGTGGCAAATGCCAACGAGCTCCTCGACTCCTGGTGGCTTCAGATGGTGCGTGTGTGTGTGTGAGAGTGTGCAGACGTGCTTGGTTGGGGTTCGGTGGCAGCAACATTGAGCAGGCGAGCAGCATGTCACTTCAGTTAGCAATAGCATTACTGCGGCACATCTGGAGGGCATTCATCCGGGGTGCGGTGCCAACCTCTTGATTGCCACTTGCCCTAGGTGCTGGCGTGCATTGGGGAGCAGTTTGACGAGGGGGATGAGGTTTGTGGGGCAACCGTCAGCATACGTCATGGCAAGAACCGTGTTGAGCTGTGGACGCGCACGGCCGCCAACGAGACCCTCCAGGTGAAGGGGGCCCTTTGCGCGGTAACCACTGTGGACTCACACAGCTGAGCTGAGATGATGAGACGGTTGAGAAGCTGCGTGATGCATGTTAGGCATGCCACAGGATGTCCTCACCAAGCGCGTCTGGTTTGCGACGCGGTGGTTCCGCCAAGGACATGAGCTTGTGGGTCGAAACCTGCGTTCCGGCCGCAGACATGGTGACAGATTCCAGCCACTTCCGCCCCTGCCTCCCCCCCCCAGGCGAGCATCGGCAAGCAGCTCAAGGGCATCCTCAAGGCCCCCGATAGCACCAGGATCGGCTACACATTCTTTGTGAGCGCAATCAGGGACCGCCATTGGTTGCCCCCCTGCAGATGTGGTTGGTCGTGGTCAAGCTTCACGCTTAGTGCAGGAAGGCACGTTGTTTTGGGCGTAACTGCATTCACAATGTTGGCCCTGCGCACTCAGCCCCCCGCTCCCGGCCTGCCACACGCTGCAACGTCCTCTCCCCTCTCCCCTCAAAACTTTTTCAGGCCGACAAAATGCTGCCAGGGGGCAAGGCTCGCGACAGGTATCATGTCTAAGCCACACATCACACATTGCACCATGGACAAAACCAGCCCTGCCAGAGCTGGTGTGGCGCAGTGCGCCCACCACGGGGCAAAGGGACGGCGGACTGGTGCACAGCATGCGAGCCGACGTGGCCCAACCAGGCGTGTCCACGGCACGGTTTGGCTCTTGTTTGCAGTGTAGATTGGTGACTGGTCTCTGTGCGCCGGCTGCGCTGCACCATTCAGCAAACCTTCCACACATAGCCAATCGCTTGACCGCATGTGTGATTTGTTCCAGACAAAAATTACCACCCCGTGTCCATCGCATATCTAATTGCGTGTTTCTGCCTCCACTGAGGGGCCTCTGATGGCTTCCAGGGCCCCTGGGACGCTGTTGTGCAGGAAGTCTTGTTGTTTTGGTGCTTTGTGCAAAGGGGCCTTCGCCATGCGCGCCCTTGGTCCTGTCACGAGGGTTCCCACGAAATCAGGGGGTTCCCATGGAATGCACATGCAATACGAGTTGAAATCAGCCCCTACCGCTTGTCACATTGGCCAGCATCATAGCTCATCTGTGTCTGGGCACTGGAGGGCTAGGCACGGCAGGTCGGGCAGCACAAGCATGCAGATGGCGCGGATCAACACCGGAGCACCCAGCGCTGCATGCCATCAGCAGGCGAGGGCATGCGGACCACAAGAGCTGAACCAGAACATATATGGCCAATTCGGCAGTACAGTACGTTCTGTGCCCATTGAGGACCACTGAGGACAAAACATCGATCTTTGAATCATTGTTCAACTCATCAACGGGCGATCGCCGAGACTGCGCTCCCGGGATGAATAATCGCGACATGGTTTTGCAAAGTTTCCCCACAAAAGGTTTCTCATCAAGCACTCAGCCCACCCACCCGGCCCCTTGCCCCTCGACCATAGCGGATCAGACGTCATGATCTCCCCCGTGAGGCTTTGGCGCAGTGGGGCCAGCAGAAAGACGGTGGTTTTTATGGCCTTCGCTTCAGGGGCAGCCATTGGGCCCATTGCAGATGCACGCTGAGCTGCGCGCCACACACTTTGCCCCCTGGAAGCAGCGGTGGCGCGTTCATGCGCCGCGCGTCGCAAGCTCATTCGATCCCCACCCCGGCCCGTAAATGCAGGGGGCATCATGCAGTCGGTTGGTGCGCTCCAATGCAGTCACCGCACCCCCAAGGCGGGCATTTGCCTGCCGCTGCGCCGCAGCGGGACAGCAGCAGGCCCCTCCGCAGCAGCCGCGGCCGCAGCAGCTCGCCGCCGGCTGCCTGGCCGCGCTGGCCTCGGCCTCCGTGCTGCTGTCCCCTGTGCCGGCCCTTGCTGTGTCTGGTGGCGGCGGGACGTCGAGCTCGCTGTCGTTCCAGGACCTGTCAGGGCAGGACCTCACCAAGAAGCGCTTCACCAAGGGAGAGATGCGCCAGACGCGCTTCGACGGGGCCAACCTTGCGGGTGGGCACGCGCTCCCGCGGGCTGCCATGGGCAACACTGTGGTCGGGCCCAGTTGTGCGCATGTCGTGTCCCACCCCCTGTTCGCCGCCTGCTCGCCCCACATCTGCGGCTTTGCAGGTACTCACTTGACCCCCCAAGCAGCATGCACGCGACTCGTCTGCCAGCCCCCACTGTGAACATACATCCCACAATGTGTCTTTTGACCCCCGCCCACATCGCAGGCGTGACGCTATTTGGTGCTCTCGCGGAAAAGGCCTCCTTTGTGGGCGCAAACCTCTCAGGGGCCGACCTGGAGAGCGGCAACTTTGAGTTTGCGGACCTGACAAACGCAAACCTCACGGGGGCGCTGGTGACCAACACGCAGGTGAGGGCCGCGGGAGCGTCCCCCACGCGGCGGTGGGTGTGAAGCGCATGGGGCGCGCGCTGTGGCCTAGGCAGCTGCCTGAGCCGGCTCCTGGATGCGTGGGTTGATGCCCCTCGCCCCCAACCCGCAGTTCCGTGGCGTCAAGATCGAGGGCGCCGACTTCACAGGTGGGCGGTGCGTGCTTGAGGTATCCGAAGTGGCCACGAATGGGAGTGTGCTCCTGCGCCTGCAAGTAATGCGACACCCCAAACCCTTCTTCCACGTGGTGTGTCATCCTTCTCGTTGATTTTTCGATGACATCACCTCGTACCCCTTCTGCTCGTCTTGCCCCCCACCCCCAGACGTGCTGCTGCGCAAGGACGTCCAGAAGTACCTCTGCGGCCTGCCCACCGCCACAGGCACCAACCCCACGACAGGCGTCGACACACGGGAGAGCCTGTTGTGTGATGATTGAGCACGGCCGCCCTGTCGGGGGCAGCTGATCCTGTTGGCGCTCTTGAGGCTGATGCAGCAGGTCCTGTGCGCGTATGCGGTTTTTGTGCCGATCAAATGTCATTTTCGTCCGGAGCTATGACCGTCGTTTGCTGGCTTTTTTTAAGCAAGTGTTTAAGCAAGACATGCTGGACACTTTGGTTGGTTGGCCCGCGCACGGCAGGGAGCGGCAGGATTACATGTGCTTATCCCACCTCAAGCCGGCCCAGAGTTACTGGGGCATCAATGCAGGGCAAGCCTGCCTTGACGCCACCGTGCGTGAGGTGCTCGTGCCCTGAGACACTGCAGCCATAAGTGCCTGGACAGGCACAGCAGCATGGTTATTATCGACGAGTTGTATCTACACCACAACTCACATTACATCAGTGATCAGCATTGTGCCTTGCGTGCATGTAGCCCTCGCAGCGAAAGTGCGGCAGCTTGGTGCGAGGGCAACCACGCCTGCAACATTGTGCAACCCTGCGGCTGGAATTTGGCGGAGGTTGAGCCAACAGTTGCGGTTGCGGGGTCTTCTCAAGCATACTGAATGGCGCCTGGATTGCTGCGTTGGCATGTGGGTGCATGCACGCACCACATTTGCAATCTGCCGCTCAACGTGCTGTCAGGTCACCAGGCGGTTGGCCCACTGCGGTGCCTCGGGCGCGCGTCTCTGGACAGCTCGCTCCACATCCATCCCCATGGGTGATCTATACTCTGTTAATGCAGCTTTATTCGGTGTTGAGGACACCCAGTACAGTGGACCTGTGTGTTGGTGTGCCCCGACCAACTTGGCTCTGACAGCTGGAGCTTGACCAGCACACCCCTCAGAGTTGCTGGCCCTCCCTGCGACCTCTCATTTGCTGCAGCAGCGGCCCAGCTGGATGCGTATCCAGCGCTTCTGATTTCGTAGAACCAATCACACACTACCCATTGAGGGGTCTTCGTCTGCTTTGTGCCGGCTGGGTCTGTCCGCCTAGTGCTCCATCCATCGAGGGTGCCGCTGCAATCCCGGTCAAGGTGGGTGATTTTGCACTTGGTTCACGAAGCTGATGCAGAAGTGCGGGGCCCCTTCAGGTCGGGTGATGTTCGGAGGGCTGCAACAAGCTGCCTCGGGCCGGGTGAAAAGCAGGCGTTCCTGCGTGTCTGCGTCACCTCAGTTATGAAATCATAATTCTGTCCATCAAGGGCAGCTTGGAGCGGACGCATGCGCCGAGCGGCGCGCGCCTCGAGGGCATCACCAACACACTGCTCTTGCGCCCATGTCACCCGCGCCTCGCGGGGCCCCCTTGCCGCAGCAGGAGTGCATGCGACCCCTCAAAATGCAAGTACGCGGCATCGCGGTTACTGCCGCGCTGCTCTGCAGCATAGCGCTGCTCGTGGGCCCCGTCACCGCCCAGCAGCTATCGGCCGGCGACTGGGGCACGTGCGGCGGCGTGAACGGCCCCAACAAGCAGGATGCGGCGGGCCTCGCATGCCCCAGCGGCTACACCTGCGTGCGTCAGGACCAGTACTATTGGCAGTGTAAGGAGAACAAGAGCGTGCCCGGGCTTGACGCCGCCGCCGCGCCGTTGTCTGGTGGGGCTGCCGCCCCAACCGCCGGCGCTCAGGTCAAGCCTCACAGCACGCAGCAGCAACAGCAGCAGCAGTCCAAGGCAGGTGTAAAGGTGCTTGAGCCATGGGCGCAATGTGGTGGCATCAACGGCCGCACCGGCGGAACAGATGCCCAGTGGGACGACGTGGCGTGCCCCAGGGGATTCACCTGCATCCGCCAGGACGAGTGAGCAGCCCACATGGGCAGGGCTTGCGGCTTGCCACAACGGCGCATGCGCGTGTGAGGTCATGGCCCGTGTGGCCCTGACAATGCACGCGCCTAAGATGCGTGGGACGGCGGTACGGCTGCCATCGGTTTTGGGACACGCGCGTTGCAGCTCGCTGCCTCACTGGGGAGGCCAGCTCTCCCCACCCACCCCACCAGCCCTGACCCCTGCGCCCCAACCCCCCAACCCCTCTGCCGTGTCCTCCCAGGT